CACACACACGTATACGAAAAAACAATATACATATATTTAGTGTTTTGCTTTGTATTTTACAACGCCAATGATGATGGCTTCTCATCATCGCCGATCGAACCAGTTGATTCGCCGTGCTGGTCCACACGTGCACCAAAGACCGTCAATTATGATAATGTTTATGGTGCTCTCCAGATAGGTGCTGCCAAGGGCGATAAACTTTATGGCCAGTGCTGATGGCCTTTGGGTTGTAAGTTGTTAGCTGTTAGGTGTTTGCTGTCTGGCTGCTGGCTGCTGTCCGATGGCAGGATCGGATCTGCATGCAACTGGGTCAGCGTGCGTAACAGCCACGCCCAGCACCAGCCAAAGCACATCAAATCGCATAACCCAACGCAAATATTTGCTGCTCAATTGGCTCTGCCTGCAGTAAAACTTGCCTCCGTTCATCAGCAGCAGCAGCAGCAGCAGCAGAAGCAGAAGCAACGAAGCAACTTTGCGCGCTTTGTTGACAGCTGGAAACATAAAATTTACATGTTATCGTGTTTACATGCGCACCGCTTTTATTGACAGACTGAACGTCTGACTGGCAAATACAAGAAGCAAACACACACACACACACACACACACACACACACTGTCATAGACGAGTGATGTACATACAAATGGGACTGTTGCATAATCCCATTCCAAAGGAAGCAAAGCTCATGATCAATAAGAGAAGTAATGCTCTCATAATATGAAGAAATATAGTGTAATATTTGTGTATAATATTATCATATGGATATCTATTACATTTTAGTCAACTCATCAGATAATATAATCTATATTAATGCAAGTGATTTTGAATTCAATGCAAAATATTACAAGATTCGAGAGGAAGATGTCCTGAGTCAGTTACATAATTCTTTATTAACTTAGATATAGCTCAGACAGCGATCTCCTATAATCTGCCAAGAATTTAATATCTGTGTAAAATAAATGTGATATGAGATATGTGGTTCCGAAATAAACATAATTGAAGAGATCTCTGTATGTATATAATCGTATAAGAATTAAACCTCAGCTTATAACAAATAATGATGCAGATCTTTCATAATAGGCAGAACATGTTTACACATTGAATCTATACTTATAACATTAATCACAATTCAGACTGTAGGAGTATACAAGTATCTCAATAAGAGGCAGCTCTTGTTGCTTACGATTGTAAATCTTATAAGAATTAGAATGTTAAGCAAATATTTTAGGGTCTGTAATTCTCAGAAGATTCCAAGTATGCTTTGTTTGTAACTATTGTAACTATTGCACAACAGAGAATAGACATATCTACACAAATACTGATTTTGCATGTACATACTTAATGATATCTCAGCAGCTATCACTATCAGGCACCTATAGTATGATATACGACTTCTTTTCTTTGTATATTATTCTTGCTCTCTAAACTAGATAAGGAAAAATTTCAATTGGATATTTGTATTTCGATTTCCGGGAAAAAATGCAAGCTTTCGGTACTGTGAAAGAGCTGGAACTGATGTTCTGTAACAAGGGCTATGTTACGTTACGTAAACAATGTACGCTTCCTTCTTTTGTATTTATTCTCATAAACAAACAGACGGAGAAGCAGGTCTATACCGACTCGATCATTCATCCTTATCATGAATACCTCAACGAGGTCATGTCTTCTCAAGCTTGTTAAATACTTTAAATACTCGTATCGTCCATGGCTTCAATGACAATGTGTATCGTGTGAAGGCATTTTGTTTTCTCTTCTTCCTCAAACAGGTCTACACCGACTCGGTTATTCATCCTTATCAAATAACGAGGTCATCCACGCCTTCTCATGCTTGGTAAATACGATTAACAGAATCAATATGAACTCGCATTGTCAGTCTCAGAGTAGGCACACTGTGCTCATTTTTCTCTTATAATTTCTTAAACATGATCAAGAACTGAACACTTAAGGATTCCTCGATATCTCCTATCTCCTGCGGAAATTCGGCTTTACTTTTTATTTCAACTGATTTGTTTTCATTGAATTTATGGCCCTAATTTGAAGCAGTCGACAAGGTTAGAGTTCGAGAGCCGTACTGGGAGTGTGGGTGTTAAATAATAAAAATGTAATTTGTTGGCGATTTGATGGTGCAATTTTCCAGTTATTAAACTTGAAGCTGTCGTCTATTTGAAGTGTCAGAAAAAAACAAAAAGTAGCTCGTGCTGCCGCCACTCGCTTTGGGGCAGCAACAAAAACTCGTTAGAGCTACTCGCTACCGTCAGCAATTGAAAGTTGTTAAGTGACTCAAACAATTTTTTACTATTTGTATTCGTGTGCAGCGAGTTTTCTTGCCGCAGGCTGCGAGAGTTATGGCCGTTTACCCCAGCGCTTGTTTACTCCTGTAATTTTCACACTTTATTAATAATTGTTGCCATTATGGAGAATTCTCTAGCGCATTCTAATGTCTGTTCTTTTCTGTGTCTCTTTTGAACTAACAGCAAACCTCACACAGCTGCAGCCAGCCGCCAAATCTTCGCTCACACAGCTCCGTGCACACACAACAGCCGGCTGGACCCGTGAGAGAAATACAAATCGATCCATATATAATACTCGATGATGAGCTCAAGTATTTCTACGATGATGTACGAGATGTAAGTAGAGTTTTTACTTGTTCCACAAATGTAATGGCATGGGTATTTCCTTCATATAATTCACTAAAATACCTTTAGCAAATTTTTAATTTATTTTTAAGTAAATATTTTTCTGTCTGCTAAGCCTACATACATATATATGTAGAAACAAATTAGTAGTATCTTAAAATACATTAGGTGAGATACTCCGAAATTCACCTCGTTTGTTATTTGTTTAGAATTAGAGCCCAGAAAATACGTCATATTGTCAAGTCAGGGTATTTTCCATATTTCAGGAATTTTTCTATACCCTATAGCTGTTGACACTTAAGTGTAAATAATTTTGATTCGACAAGGTGATATAACAAACATGTTATTTTGATAATGGAGAATGAGTTTTTTACTACGTTAACCGTAATCCCTGTGCTAAGAATTAACAAAACAATGCATTAATTTGATATTATTAGTTCGTTTCATTTTACGGTCTATAACCTTAAACTGAATTGTTAATATTTCCTCTTGAAAAATTTATAAAACTAATTGATACAAAAAATGGTTAGTCTATTTCAATAAAATATTTCGGATATATATGAAAAATAAAAAAATAAACTCATAAAAGGAACTCTAGATTATATCAAAGATTTCATAAATACCAATGCTATAAACAACAATTTATTTTCAATCTATATAAATTAGTCTACTTAGAAGTGCAGGGTATACGAAACCTCAGCACACAAAGAATATATTTTCGTAAGGCCTGCTAGACTCTATCGAGTTTTTGCTAATTATTGTCGCGACTAAAAATAGTTTCCTAACTCAACTTGTCTATCGGTCTATGGATGTTTGCAGTTACTGCAGTCGGGCACGTCACAGCCGGAGCTGGATACCATCGCATGCTACTATTTCGACGGGCAGGGGAAGGCGCTGCGTCCCATGGTGACCATGTTGATGGCCAAGGCACTGAATTATCATCTGAACAACGAGTCACAGTAAGTTGGTTGTGGTTGTGGCTGTGGCACACTTTTGTTGCGCAGTGTAATGATTAGCGGGCCTTTGCGAAATGTGCGCGTTCTCCGCTGTCGTCTATGAACAACAATTAAAGCCAAATTATAACAACCTACATACTTATTAAGCATTCATATTTACCCATTGACGTACCCTTGACAGCCAATTAGTACACAAGCAACGACAGATAGCCCTCTTCTCCGAGATGGTGCACTCGGCCAGCTTAGTCCATGACGATGTCATCGATCAGTCGGACTTTCGGCGCGGCAAGCCTAGCGTCAATGCTCTGTGGAATCACAAAAAGGTAAGCAATCAGTTTAAATATAAATTGTTGTTGTTGTTGTTGTTGTTGCTGCTGCTGCTGCTGGCCAAATGTTGTTGGCCAAATGCCAAGCGCGAAATACCAAACACCAAACGCCAACCAGCTGACATGAATTGCTTTACCAACTGATTTCACGCCTCTGCAACTCTGTCAATATAGTATAACGAATTAACTCGCTTTAGGACTTCGTCAACAGGTTGCATCATTTGAAAAGCCCAACAGCGAAAAACTCTCAATAATGGGCCGCGCTTTTCCGTTATCTCTTCGAGTTTTCAAATTAGCTTTATTCATCTCAAGACCTCAACTCAAAAGCATCAATCCGAATAAATAATTAACATTTTGTGTGTTGATTGAATCGACCGCTTTGTACATGTCATTAACTTGTCCACCGAAGCTGGCGTTTGTCGAAATCGTTAGCTGCACATTTGCCCATATATTGTCTTTATGTATAACGCTCGATTTCCATCTTTGGCATTGTCTTTACAGGTCACAATGGCTGGTGATTACATTTTGTCGATTGCCTCGATCATGATATCGCGCCTGCGCAGCGATGATGTGACGATCGTCTTGAGTCAGGTGAGTTTCACACACGTTCCTTCAGTTCGTCTAGCATTGGACTTAAGAAAAAAAAAACGAATTTGAATTGTATATGAAAAGAAGAAGACGAAAAAAAAACAATATAAAATTAAAGAAGTTTTATCTATTCATATTGTAATTATATTCAAATATACTTCGGACTGTTGTTTAGTTTATATTTAAAGAAGCCTATATCAAGTTTAAAACAGAGGTATTCAATTATACACGACCGTGTTCATGAATACAATCCAAAATGTGTCATTTAAAACAATTTGATACGCATATTTAGATTTGCATATTTTTAATCTATTTAAAAATTATATTTTAAAGGTTGCGAAGAAAAACTAACTTAGCACTTTATGTATACA